CTCCCCTGTGCAAAAAGGGCTGGCAGGGAAGCAGGATTGACAGGATGACACCCTGCCCCCAGGCCACCTGAGGAGGCTGGGGGGATGCAGGGCTTCCTGCAGGAAGAGGGAACACGCTGCATTTTGCTTGGTGTTATCTCTGCTGCATTTTTGGCAGCGATTCCATGCAAGTTTTTCAGAAAGCCTGTGCAATCCCCACAGCTGCCTGGAGTTTCAGAACAGCATTTGCTGTTTCCAAGCTCAGGCAAGATGCAAGCGTCTATCTAGAAAACCACTGCTACCCAGAGCGGTCCTGGCACTGATGGGATACAAAAACTCACAGCACAGAGGCAGATGAAATTTATTTGTAGTTTGATTTCAGAGGGGATCAGAAAAGAGACCGTTGTGTCTCAGGAAGGATAAACGTAAGCATGGGTCCACTCTGAAATGCTGCCAAAGGGAGGTGGTACAGAGACCCTTCCCAAGGTACTGATGTATCCCACACTGCTGCCGCACAATCCCTGTTTTTGCCCTTCTGCCTTCCCTGTGTGGAGTGGGATCCTCGCATGCAACTGCAAGTATCCCTGCTCGGCCAAGGTGCAATTGCTAACGCTTGCGGTCGGCAGTGGCCAGTGCCTTCTCATCTTCCACAGATCTGGTGCACTGACCTTCAGACTTTCTTTCTTGGTCCTTTAAATCCTCGGGTGGCACCTTGTCCAAAGCAAATTGTGGATGGGATCCTGGAAACAGAGACACGCTTTAATATACGTTAACAACACACCTCTCGCAGGATCACCGGGACGCTTTATGCCTTGTGTAGCATTTCAAGCTCCCAGAGTGGGAAGAGCAAGGTATTGGAGGAGCAGGGCATCTAAATCACCACAGCGTAATTCAAAAAATGGGTGAAATACTGGTCTGCTTTCCCATTTATTCTGCACATTTCATTTACGTTCTGGAGGCCTCTCCTCTCTTTACAACCGGTGTAAGGTGTTCCAAAATGTAATATGCTATTGGGCAGCTGCAGTGGTTTGTTGTGGAAGCACATGATTGTGAAGAGGAGAGCAGAAGCAGCAGTAAAAGCGTGGCCTTTCAGCAGCAAGTTTTCCTTTTGACCTGCAGTATCACATTGAATTCAGTGGACGGTTTCTTTCCCGTTTATAAGCTGTTACACTGGACAAAGCAGTGAAGTTTAAAATGTCACCATGGCAGCTGCTTAGGGACAGGATTTTGTCAGGCAAACCATGACATACAAAAGCAGACCCAACTGGCTGTAGTGCGTTGCGAGCGCTTTCAGACTCCACAGCTCGTTAGGAAGCCCTGAATCAGCAATGCTCACCTCATCTTACAGAGGTAGAGCGAAACACTGATGTCAGCAAAAGCTAGAGGGAGCTGAGGACAGAAGCAGGTTTCCCTGTGGGGTGCTCCAGCATGGTCATGGGTTCATCAGACTGTCAGCGTGTCACAGATGCAGCAAACTCAAAACACGAGAATTCCTTTGCTAACTGGAATAGTTCAGGCAAAACCATATTAACCTTTATGCTAAGAGATGATTAAAATGATGAATAAAATTACACCAATCCAGGTGCTGGGAAGAGGGTGGTGACCTTTTGATGGCTACCTTGCATCTCGTACAGGTTTTAAAGCACATGATGAGGGGGATTTCAAAAGTCAAGCCAACATTAGGCAATTCAGTTTCAACTTTCTGTAAAGATTTAAAAAAAAAAAAAAAAAAAAAAAAAAAAAAACCCC